AGAAAGTTTGATGTAGCCAATTAATGGAAACAAAAGTTCCATCATTTCTAATAACATGCATGATGAGCTAAGTAGGCAAAAAGCATAGCGTAGGGCCCTGAGCTTCCAAGCTCTCTCGTAGAGCAGTTTCCCTCACCATTTTTCACTGCCTATTGCCATTGTTTGTACACTGTATTAGTGTTGAAACGATCTCACCGGGTACTTGTTAGCTCGCTCGCCAGAAACTCGGCTCGTTTGTGCGGCCAGCTCGTTTGCACTAACGAACACCGTACACCGTACTCCGTACACATGGCAGTACATGTCGACCGGGGAGTCGTAAAATATTTTACCACTCCCTGGTCGATCGAGAGTCCAGTCCCGCGCAAAGTGAAAATCACTCGCAGTTACAGTGACTGTATGCCTGCACGACACTTGAGTTGTTTTAGTTGTCGTTGCAGCTTTTGGTGGACTCTACTGATGTCTTGTTCCGCATCTGTAGACCCCTCGCAGGATATGCTTCGGTCACCTCTCCATTCGAGTGAAAGTTCCGCTCAATCGTTTGGAAGTTTTCTCCCGCGATGCAGCAAAGAACAGGGTTACTTGCAATCTTTGCAAAACGGTCTATTCTTACAAACTCAGTAACAAAGGCTACTCAACGACGGCGCTGAAAAGACATCTCGACACCAAACAGCAGTCTGAAGTAAAGCAGCAGCAACCGCAAATGCTGGTGGTGATAATTTGAACCAGCTGAAAAAATCGAACTTTAATAGAAAAATATATTCAAAAAATCATGTTTGCCACATCAATGAAACTCGTTAGCTCGCTCAATAGCTTTCTCGTTAGTGGAAATGATCGATCGTTTGTTATAGATACGCTCGTTTCAACACTAGACTGTATACTCGTGCAGAGATAACGGCACATGTACGCTGCTTTTTAACACCCTACTTAGATTCTAGCTACATGTAGAATCCAGATCTTCATGCAAACGACAAAACTGAGAGTCCAGGACTTATGCGCCTCACAGCTATACCCTGATGATGACGAAAACAATAACGACAACTTTGACGTGTGCATGGTTGTGTGCATGTGTGTGTGTGTGTGTGTGTGTGTGTGTGTGTGTGTGTGTGTGTGTGTGTGTGTGTGTGTGTGTGTGTGTGTGTGTGTATGTGTGCCTGTGTGCTTGTGTGTCTGTGTGCATGCATGCATGCACACCTATCCATTCGGTCCTTTCAGAAATTGATGAATGCTTGTCCAAACCATGTAAGAATGGAGCCACATGTACGCAAGGCATAGCGTCATACATGTGTTCATGTGCAGCTGGCTATACAGATAGGAACTGTAACGTACTGACCAGAGGTAGGTATTCATTTTATACACCATCTTTAAACAACCTTTGGTAAATTTGGTGTTGTGTTTCCTCGCCTAGATGTGTTCATGTGTGTGTATGTCTCTCTCTCTCTCTCTGTCTGTCTGCATTTGTGAGTGAGCACGTGTGTGTGTGCATGTGTGTGTGTGCGTGTGTGCGTGTGTTTGTGTGTGTGTGTGTGTGTGTGTATGTGTGTATGTGTGTATATGCTCTCCCCTCTCCCGGGAGACCCACGTGACCAGTTTTGGCTGTGAGCAACAAGTGTGTGTGGGTGTGTGTTTCTAAATATCTGCCTGCCGGCTGGTCTAGCAATATATTGACCTATAAATTTTTTTCTATGTATAGGAGCAAGTAGGACACGTTTCGCTGAAAGCATTTCCCATAATATTATGTCGACATGCATGAGTAAATTTTGAAACGCTGCTTGCAGAGCACATTTGTTTTACCTATATATATATATACTCAATCTGCGGATCTGCGGATATATATATATATATATACGTTCGGGCCTGATTGGAAATTTTTATTTCCATTCCTATCAGGTTCGGCCTCATTTCCTCTGTGCTGCGCTGATGAGTTCACAAAGAACGAAACAGCATGCTGTCCGCAGATTGAGTATATATATATATATACCCAATGCTTTGGACAGCAAGCTGTTTCGGCCATAAAGGCCTCATCAGTACAGCTACGAGCTAAATAGGCCGAGTTACCAGCCATGGTGCAAAGGAGGCACCACAGACATTAAGGTAGCTCGTCGCTCTAGCGCCAGAGTGCTCAAACTACAAAAAGTAGCGGGCATTGCGCGATGCAGCAGCGCTAGAGCAGCCTACTGAGAGTGCTCAACAAGGCGAACGCCGAGGAGCGTGATACCCAATGCTGTAGACAGCAAGCTGTTTCGGCCATAAAGGCCTCATCAGTACAGCTACGAGCTAAATATATATATATATGCAATTATAGCCTTTTGGTTCTGACAGCTAGCTGTTTTGGCTAGCTATTAAGGCCTCATTATAGATCTAAATGTAGGCACCCTTCTCCTTCTTACCATCAGTGTTTTCGGACGGTTTTGACAGTGCTCCTCACTCCTCCAACAAATCTTCCGTTTTCTGCCTTTGTGAACTTGTGAACAGTGTAAAAAATTTACAGCAACCCACCCATTCATGTTTCATCTTCATGGGCGCATTTTTTTTGTGTTACTCCTCCCCATCCCCATCCCTGCTCCAGATTATGATGAATGTTTATCTAACCCATGCAAGAACAATGCCACGTGCGTTGATGGCATCTTCAAATTTACCTGCCGATGTCCAGCTGGGTTTACCGGTGCTACTTGCGAATCATGTGAGTATACATGGCTTTTTCTTTCTTTCATAGCCGATGTGTGTTTAAATTACCATCTGTATCACCTTGTGTGCACCTCCATCCGCGAACAGGCTCTCAGCTGCACCACAAGAATAAATTAATGCCAATACTTCGTCCATTGGGGATCATCAAGTCAATGTGTATCAACTTTCAAGCCTGTAATTTTAATGTTCCCATCTCAGATGGAGAGGCAAGGATAATTTTATAGAAAAGAAAAAGGACCAAGGAACTACAAGTTACACTATAATGTCCACTAACACCACCAGTTACAACACCACCAGTTACTAAAAATCAGCTCATGTTATCATATTATAATTTAGAACCTTCCAAGTTGGAAGGCTGTTGGAGTGCGCACTCAAGATGTGCTAGGGTTCTTAGCCAGATAGTTGCAGAACGTCAGTACCGTCGGTCAGTGTCGTGCAATGTTATCGCACGAGCTGATTGTTTAGTAACTGGTGGTGTTAGTGGACATTATAGCGTAACTTGTAGTTCCTTGGTCCTTTTCGTTTTCGATAGGTTCCCATCTCACTTCAAGTATACGGGTTCATCAGTTGCCTGCACTCCTGCCTCACTCACATTGGTGAACCTCCCATCGACATATGTCAAAGTCTACTCGTCAAGCATCTATGGCTTGACGTTTGAGCATCATGTCATCACAATATGATTTTCTCTGTAGTCTTCTCTAGTTTTCAGACTGCAGGTGCCAGCTGCTCTATACATCACAGTTTGTGCTCTCATCCCCAGTTTGGCTCCTTGCTACGAGATTCTCGTTTCTGCTTACTGATGCGGCTTTACCTTGCTCAGAATCCACACGCTGCACAGAGATGTGTGCATAGAGGAGACTAAAAGTACGCATCCCATCTCTAAGCTACGCCCTCGACTTTTGTGGGAGCTGTATGCGTGCTGTATGCATGCTATTGTTCTTGAGTGAGTTTCTATGCTGGTGTGTTGTTGTGGCGGTGTGTCGGTGTGTTCACCCCCACCCAGTGCTGGACTGCCCAGCATTTAAGACACGCGATCATACAGGCATTTTCTGCAAGGACTGTACCTGCTACCAACAGGGCTCGCAGAGCTGTGACATGAGTAACGGCACGTGCTATTGCAATAATCTAATCTCTGGAGACAACTGCGACACGTGTGCCAATGGCTATTACCAATCGAGTGGCAGACTGGATAGCTGCGCTAGCTGTGGGTGCACGGCCAATCGAACAATGAACGGTACGATCTGTGACGCAAATACCGGCTCTTGCCTCTGCCTGCCGCAGTACACCGGAGACAAGTGCCAGTTCTGTAGCAGAGGTTATTACAAGAACTCCACCAGCAGGGATTGTGCTGCATGTGCCTGCTCTACCGGAGGCTCAGTTGGCACCTCTTGCCATGTCCTTACAGGGCAGTGCACATGTCGCCCTGGCTTTGCTGGCCGTGACTGCAGTCAGTGTGCTGCTGGACATTTCCAAGCTGACTCGTCGCACATGGCATGTGTAGACCTCAAATCATCAACCACTTGTCAAGGTATGGTTTGCTGTAAATCCTGCAATACCTGTTCTTGTTTGCTTTGGATGTGCTTGATTGGTCAAGCCAGATTCGTATCAGATTCACTGGAGTATTCGAAGCAGATGGCCCAAACAAAACAAAAAGACTTTGGCGAGGAAAAAAAGTAATGATTGTTGTGTTTAGGTTTGCAGTCTGTAAAGTCAAGTCGGCAGAAAAGCAAGAGCTCCGGTGTGGGGAGAGGAGAATGTTTTCTATGAAACTGGACCTTGTTTTGTTTTCAACGTTGATTTTGTATCTTCACTATATCGACGCAAATGCATTCTATTCGGAACAAGAGAATCTTGGGGTGATGATTCAATAGCTCATATTCAAACATCATGTGTGTGTATGTGCATGTGCATGTGTGTGTGTGCATCTATGTGTGTGTGTGTGTGTGTGTGTGTGTGTGTGTGTGTGTGTGTGTGTGTGTGTGCGTGCGCGGGGACATGTATGTGTTTGTGTGTGTGTGTTTGCACGTGTGCTTCCGTAATAGCCTGTCATTGCTCTAAGGATGGTGCTAATGGCACCAGTTGTGCAGCTGGTACTGGCAAGTGTCAGTGCAATGAGGGATATATTGGTGATAAGTGTGACGTATGCGCTAACCCGGATCAATTCCACGTCTCAAATGGTGGTTGCCAAGGTAACCTTTCCTTCTTAACTTTTTGGTTTGGGGTTACAGAGTCGAAGCCGACTGCTTATTCCCGATGTGCTTTCATCAGAGAGCTCAAGTGTCCTGGTGTGTGCTGCAAAGAACCTGATTTTTATGGTTTTCAACACCCAAAAGGAAATATATCTGGAAGTGACTCGGATGCAGAGCCAATGATATATTTATACAAAAGAAAAAGGACCAAGGAACTATAAGTTACGCTATAATGTCCACTAACACCACCAGTTACCTGACAATCAGCTCATGCGATAACATTCCACACAACTGACCGACTTGGTCCTTTTTCTTTTCAATATTATCTGGAATTTGAAACTCGGAAGTTGAGCCAATAATAAATGTAGCAAGGAAAAGGACATAATTATGGATACAATTTAAGAGTAACTCTCCATCACTGTAGCCAGATACTATATTAAACAGTCAGAAAGTGCAACAACTAGGCACAAAACTGACAGAGTACTGCGACATTCGACAGTTGTAGCACTTTCTGACTGTACAATTATAGTATCTGGTTACAGTGATGGAGAGTTACACTTAACTCCTATCCATATGTCCTTTCCTTTTCAATATATTGAATTGTTGTACTGTAAAACATCTAACTTTCGGTGTAACTTTAATTTCGGTGATTTTGGTACGGAAACCAGGCACCTAAATTAAAGCTACACCTAAATGGCACGAGAGTATGTACTGTATGTGAAAGGGAACGCTGGTCACCTAATTCTAAATTACACCTGAAACCTGGCAGGTCCGTGGCACCAAAATTTTAATGCACCTAAAAGTTCATGTTGGGCCACACTGAAGAAGGTCTGTGGTTCGACTCACCCGACCGACCGTACATTTTTCAGCCCGACCGTAACTTTTTTTCGGCGGGCTGTCGTGTGACTGACGTAGATCTACGTGGACTGAACACGTCCACGTACGTCTACGTGCTGTGCAGCGTGAGTCTGCGGACGCAGGCGGCTCCTTTTGGACTTGACTTGTAGTTGTACTGCATGCAGTGCAGTGCAGTGAGTGGTACGACTGCTGCCTTGTGCTGGTAGTAGAGTCTACTCGATACGACCACCGGCAGACTGGCGAGACTTATTTTGAAGTGACCGTCCGGTTGAGAGTGATTGCCTCGTTCCAGATTAAGGACGGCCTTCTGTTTTGGGATGAAGGACAGACGAGATTGCACTTTCCTCGTGTATTGGGAACGATATTTCACCTGTACCGGTAAGTTGCTGCTCCATGTGTGCAAGCACAGGAAGCGTCGATGGAAAAAGCCCATGTATTCGTGCACGCCGACACCAAACTAGCAATACATATACCGGTACATTGTACAATTTGTACTTCGAAGTAGTTCCCGAACTTACTTTCAACTCGCATCGTTCTTCATTTGCTTGATGATTTGGACAGTCAGAGTCACCGCTTGAAGTTATTCTCTTCTCGTTCCAGAGCTACACAATGTTTCAAAGTATTAGCCAGTGATCCCTTTATACAACATGTATGGCATAACACTGCGTAATAATGCCGATGTACTGGGTGTCTAAAGGCAGTACAGTGTATTTACATGTACTAAAAAATATATTTAAAAAAATAAAAATCCGCCCGCCCGCCCGTAAAAACAATGTCCATGTTAGTCGAACCACACACCTTCTTCAGTGTGGCCTTATACAGTATTTATAGTAAAGAAAGGGACCAAGGAACTACAAGTTACGCTATAATGTCCACTAGCACCACCAGCTACTTGACAATCAGCTCGTGCGATAACATTGCACACAACTGACCGACAGTATTGAAGTTCTAAAACTAACTGGCTATCAGCTCTAGCAAGTCTTGGGTGCGCACTCCAACAGCCTTCCAACTTGGATCTAAGTCATATTATGAAAACATAGGAGGGGAAGGTGAGCGCAACCAAGACAAGCACAAGCTGAAAATCTCAGCTGTGAAGAATGTTGGTGGATGTTGTTTTAGAGCAAAATTAAAGAATTTAAAGGAAGTGGTTTCACAGCAGACCGTTCCTTCTTTCCCATTGAAAAGTGGGATCTGCTCTGAAACCATTTCCTATGAATGAAGCTGCAGGAAGCCTCACCACTGCTACTAACTTAGAGAATTTGGAAATTTGAGAATTTGACAGGCAAAGCTGTGCAGACACCTCCTTGGGGGAGACCTAGCAAAACCAAGACGAACAGCATTTCGTTGACAAAAGAATAAGCCGGCTTTCGCAATTCGTGAGGAGCACGTCAAGAATGATGCCGGACTGATAAATGATTTTCCCTGAGAAATTATAATTATTTGCTTAGCACTTTTTCCGTCCAGCTCTTGAAAGCTCAGCCAAGTACATGTAAATCGAATTACGAAGTGCTTTATCATCCATTTCCCACATATACTGGAAATCAACCACTCTATTAAGCTCTATGCAATCTCATGTACAGTAAACCTGATTTAAGCGACCAGGTGGTTTTTAGAACCAGGTCCCATTCATTCGTGGCATATCGGATCGTGTACATACATGAGCATGATCATTATTCCATGTACTCATATTGACAAGCTTGGAGCATAGATTACTTTCGGGCAGGCAAAGAACACCTCGCTCAAGTGCTTGCAGTGCATTCTGCACTGTCCTTTGTCACTTCTGTTGACTGCATGCACATGCTTCAGAGCGCACTTCAACCCTGTTGCAGTCAGCCCCGCCAGCCAAGATTGCGGGTCCAATATGGCACTTGGTGCACTAAAAGTCAGTCGCTGATCCGCGCAAGGCAGGTGGTTGCTGTATCCAGTGCAGTTTCTGTGTAAAACTGTCCGCGCATGGAAAAATGGTTCGTAAAAGCAGGTGGTCGCTAAAACCAGAGGTCGCTTCCAAATTGCATTTTTTGGGACTGCGACAAATTCTGAGGAAGCAAAAAAGTTATAGACTACAAAGGGTTAAGTTAAAGTAATCACCTTTCCACTTCCGGAGGATATTTCAGATCCACCAAGCAGAGGCCAAAGCCCAAAATCCCTTTCTCAGCATCCATGAGTTTCATGTGCATTGCACTGAAATCTAGGAGATGTTTGAAAGTATAATTTGCCAGGATGCATAACAGTCTAGGAGCATGTGGATTGAATGTAGGTACGCGGTATGCCAGACTGGAAGATGCCAACGGCTGTGTACGGCACCCTGCCTGACTATACTTGCAGTGGACAGGGAGTTGGTGCAACATGAGCAGAGCGCCTGAGCTATGCTATTTGCACCTGGTGGTGGCAACAACCAAGCACTGCATTGTATCATGGAACTCCTGCAAAGTAGCGGCCTGTGCAGGTAGAACTAGGAGGAAAGAAACAGTGCAACAGATTACGGACAATAACCCTGGGTTCTGTAGGCAATAATCAAGCAGTTGGTTATTAGCTTTGTAAGCATGCACAGCAGTGTTTCTTTGTAGTGATCAACACCTCCTACAGAGATTGGCCTTTTTAAAGATAAATAAATGTATCCCTGGCAGGATTGCCATCACATGGTAGGACCAGTACCACCATGGCCATACCACCCTTCTTCCAAGATGGTCCGTCCAATTCATCCCAAAAAAGCAATAAGAGAGGGCTAAAAACGTGCGCTGTTGTCCGAAAATATCCGAGTCATTTTCCCGGGGGACACCCCGACACCCGGTCATTCCACTGCCCTTTGATCTGTGACGCCCCTGCCTGGGACGGTGGGACTCTTGGACGGTGGCAATATTCGCATGGGAGCAAGAAGGCCAAGACGCCAGCATGTGCAAAGAGAACATGCTAGTGACACGTGAAAAAGAAACCTACGATAGGCTTCTTCATTTGAGAAGCCTCTGCCTGCATTGCTATTTATTCATTTGAGAAGCCTCTGCCTGCATTGTTACTTCTTCATTTGAGAAGCCTCTGCCTGCATTGTTACGAAACACACATTTATTGGCACAGCACTGGTTTTGGGTTTCCAGCACAATAGAGATTACTATCATCAGTAATAGTACACAAAGGCACACAATGAAAATTTTGGGTAAATTCGGTTGTGACTCGGAGTTTCATGGCTGAATCAATAATCAGACAAGTTGGTTCAGCCATGAAACTCTGAGTCACAACGGAATTTGCCCAAGGTTTTCATTGTGTGCCTTTGTGTACGCCACTCTGCCTGAATCAGGTATTGAGCACTTTCGCAGAACCTAAGTCTACTGCCTCTGTGTATCATCAGTACTACTGAGTGCTCAGCCGTACTTTTATATGAGCGCGTCTCATTCACTGCTTGCCTGTGTCTCAATTTGCATACAGACATCAGCAAGGAGATGTACCTGCCAAATACAACAACCATCGAGGGCGAACAAACTATTTCGCTGAACTCCTCGTTTGTGTTTGGCTCAGCATTTAAAACATACCGCAGCATGAAAGTAAGTTATCGAGGTACTAACAGTCTGCTTATTGCAAACAAGAAGTCTTTGACTAAGCACAGCGCATAGCGCATAGGTAGAACACATAGGCAGTGTATGATTTTATGCCATTCCTAGCTACGAAGCACAGTTCGTCCAGTGGACAAATGTGTCCATGAATGACTGGTTCATGAGCTACTGGCCATTAACCTTGGATTTCACCCAGCTTGAAGACTCTGTGGATGATTGGAACAAAAAAATACTGTCACTGAGTATTTGCATTTATACCGTATGCTCAGCTTGTGCACTGTGGTGTGTGAGCTTTTAAGAAGTACTGCACTGTCGTTAAGACTCGCAGGATTTCTGACAATGTGCCCCGATTGAAATTTTGAAATTTTCACACGTCCGATTCTGCGAAAGATTCCATGGGATTCTATGTCATATGAAGGCATACTGCACGGGAATATCTGGATTTAAGACGAGCTTTCCATTCAGGTAGATTGAATTGGTAACGGCTTGATTCGTTTACACTCGGCTGCTGTTGGAAGCGGCTTTTCATCCGTTGCCATATTCTGGCTATGCGGACCGCATGGAGGGTTGAGTAGGTTCGGAACAGTAGGGGCGATGACGGGATAGGTCTTATGGTGTACTGAAACGCCGACCGCAATTGCAGACAATACAGAAGGAGCTACGGTCTGTTCCGAACCTGGTCGTCTCGTGCAGTCGCGGACGTTCGGGGGTTGCAACTCCTCACCGAGCGAAGGCCCACGGAGAAACTTCAGGTGGCGACATCGTGCGAAGCCCTGGTCCTCAAGAATCTTGGTCCGCGACCGTATCTACTTCAACAGGTCCTGAACGCACACACACACACACACACACACACTCACTCACTCACACACACACACACACACACACACACACACACACACACACACACAAACACACACACACACACCACACTTCATGCCATACATCCCCCGTTTTGGTCCTTGATCCATTTGTGGTGACTCGTTATGAAGCCCCATTGAGATTCATGCAAGATGAGACGAGATCAGGATAGCAACATCAATCATGAAGAGGGCTAAAATTGGCCACCATCGAAACCAATAGGTGTTTTTTTTGTTTGTTTCCAGGTGTCCTTGGAAGGATGGATTGCTTTCGACACTGGTTTCTCGGGAGGCTATAACATCAATAGCCGAATCAGCGATCACTTCTCTATAGTAGCCCCTTTCTGGACACGTCAAAATGCCACAGTTAATTGCCACAATGGTACAAAGCTTCAGGTGCATGTTGTGAGCTCAACCAGTGATCCTGACACTTTTCAGATGATCAAAAAAGAAGTTTCGCCTTTTGCTGACAATTTCAACCCCACCGAAGCAGTTGTTGTGACGTGGAGGGAAATCCGGGAGAGCACTACCCACACAGAGGTGAGTAAGAAAACTTGACGGCAATGGCATGCAGCATATGAACGAGTGTTTCATGTGTGGCTGGGAGTGAGAGTGGGTGAACAGTTTGGGAAAGTAGTGCAAACTGTTTGAAAGCTCACACACAATAACATTACTATAACATATGCACAATGGTTCTAGACATTGTCCTCTGTTCTTTTGCAATCATGCACATCTAGGTTAGTCATCTTCATGTTATTGTGACATATTAGATGTTGATTGCCTCTCTGCTTTCTCTCCCCTCTCCTCTCACCCAAGCCATTCAGCATAAGCGAAGCTGTGGACGCAGCATACTGCTGCTACACTTCAACCTGGGAATGCTTATAATAATAAATTATAATAATGACAAAAACACATTAGTATACTTCAGCATGAGCAGGCTAAAGATGACTTGTCATTGTTTTGAGTTGTTTACATATCCACGTTGGGCCAAGGGTATTTTTTGGAGAACCAGTGCGCCACTCCATGCTCAATAAATATTATTTCGAAGATTTCAACCTCCTCAGTTAGGACTGCTGCCATAGAATCTCGCGAAGAAGTCAACTCACTTACAGATGCAGTATATAGATGCCCATGTCCGCCTCAGAAGCCCTGGTAAATGGTGCCAAATCAAAGTATGGACAAACATGCTGCAATTACCAATACATGGCCACCTGGGCAAAAAACTAATATAATTATAGGAAAGAAAAATGACCAAGGAACTACAAGTTACGCTATTATGTCCACCAATACCACCAGTTACTAAACAATCAGCTCATGCCATAACATTGCACGACACTGACCGACGGTACTGACGTTCCACAACTAACTGGCTAACAGCTCTAGCACATCTTGGATGCGCACTCCAACAGCCTTCCAACTTGGAAGGTTCTAAGTTATAGAAATACCATAAGGAGGGAGTCCAAATATGTTAAGCGAATCCCTATTTCTTCGGTAGAGTAGTTTCACATCTATCACATGACCATACAAGACGGCCATGTTGGTTTCAACTCTACTCAAGCCCTGCATCTATGCGCCACATGGTGTCGGCCATGTTGGTTCTTTCCTCTGTTCACATGACATGATCACTTTCTGCACAAATTTGGTCACATGACAGAGATGTGAAACTGCTCTATTGCTACAACTGTATGAATATGAATAACCTGCATGCCTTGCACCATTATTAGAGACTGATATATTTAGCAACAATGGTGATAAAATGTATCACATTTTGTGAGCTCCATTGCGATATCTATTGGTTGGGGAAAAAGTTCTACCCCTGAAATCCCAGAAGAACAGAATAAAATTATAGACATCAGAGTGTCTGTCCGTGTCCTTAGGCAGGTTGATTGATAGGTTCGTTGATCTGTCAGTTGGGGGTCAATTACGTAAAACTTCACTAGCTGCATCTCTCTGTCTCTCTTTGTGTCTTTGTCTCTATGTCTGTCTGTCTCTCTCTCTCTCTCTCCCTCTCTCTCTCTCTCTCTCTCTCTCTCTCTCTCTCTCTCTCTCTCTCTCTCTCTCTCTCTCTCTCTCTCTCTGTGTGTGTGTGTGTGACTTCCTCCTTTTCTATCTTCTCCGTCACCCATACCTTCCTTTTCTTGTATTTGTTTTCAGCGTAATACATTCCAAGCCGTAGTTGTCAGTGATGAGTGCCAGTCATTTGCGATTTTCAAATACCCAACTGGTGGAATTGGTTGGCATGGCTTTCCATACCCGGTCGTTGCAGCAGGAGAAACTCTGAAAGCTTCTGGATCCCGATCACTAGTCGTGAAAAATTCAATCCATAACCTGACCAATGGCTGCCGTCAGCAACTGCGGGAGTCACAATATTGCCGTACAAATGTGAAAAATGTAACTGGAAACTCAACAGCTCTGGGGGTGCTCGTTCAATGTCCCGCTACACTTGACATTGTGCAAGTATTCAATGTATTTTCATTGTCTAGCAAGGGATCAACTGATGACATCCAGTGCTATGAATCAAAACCGGTCACTCTACAAGGACTGCATCTTTTCTCAGTGAGTGGCATCTATTGTTGCTGCTCAAGTGCCATTTGCAATATCCATGCACCAACAAAAAGTGGAATCCTGTGGAGAATGTGGAAAGAAGAAATGAATTTTTCGACCAAGTCACCTTTTATCCTGTAACAAGCGAAAATTAATTCAATTTTTGCAGTACTTGGGTGAACATTAAACTTGCGATCTTTTGAATGTGATGGATCCAACACGTCAATGGGTCTTCTTGCTATCATGCAATCCATCAATGTTGACCCATTTGTTGTAGATGGCGAACTGTGAGCGAGACCAAGAGTAGATAAACAAGAGTGTGCAACTCGCGGATGGGTAGGCCCAAGGCGGAATATTTTGTTGACGTAATATTTTCGACGACGCACGCGCTGCGAGTCTTTGGGAACGTTTTCCCTCGTGCTCTTGGCCGGCTTTACACTACAAGGTCGTTGCCCAGCACGTGCTCTCACACTGCTCTGCGGCAAAATGCGCGTTCTTCTGAAAAAAGGTGACGTCAACAAAAAAATCCGCCGTGGGGGGGGGGGGGGTATCTGCAGATTGTGCAGGAGAGATTCGGAGTTGCACACTCTTGTTTATCTACTCTTGTCCACGTCCCCGCATGTAAACAATACGGTGTGTGTGTGTGTGTGTGTGTGTGTGTGTGTGGGCGTGCGTGCGTGCGTGTGTGTGACGAGATGTTGTTTTGTTGATTGTTACTTTCCAGTCTCCTTTTACCTCGATTTACCTTTGCTTTCACTCAGCTCCTCACTCTACACGAAATGATTCAATGCTAGTGGAAGAAATTGACTAAATGCTCCAATCTAGGTTTCCGCTGTCGTTGGATAGGTTTTTCTTTCACGCTACAATGATATGCAGACAGTGACTTTTCTTGTTCCATTTTAAAGAAAACTAAGTCCTCAGCATTGCCAGGAACAGATCCAGCTACAGGGGTTTCAGTTAAGCACAAACTGAATAGCTAATACATGTACAAGCACATGCATATGCGTACCAGTAGTACGCCTGCAATATTTAGGGGTTCTGTGTGGGGTTATTTAGGCAGTCTTCTCTGCAGCAAGAGCTATTAAGTAGCAGTGAGTTGTACTCATGAAATACTGTTGCTCAAGCCAATCTGATCCACAGATGCTCTGTAATCCTATGATGGGGGTCGAGATGAGGTCCTTTTCGGGGCGAGGGTGCGTATCTCGTGAAGAATGGACTAACTGGAGGTCACACGGGGATGCTTGGTTGTTAGGTGCACCTAGTAGGTACGGGTGTGGAAGTTCTGATGGCAATGTCCCTCTGTTTGATGACCTTCTGTCACTGCAACTACAGCGGTGCTGCTATGCTGACAGTAGTGGACAGCTAATCGAGACTGGTAGCGGAAAACCCTACCAAGGAATCTCACCAACTGACCAAAACCTTCTCACACGCTGTCAGAATGCTGGAATACCGTCCTATTTCTACAGTAGACGTTTGCAGCCACAGGCAATGGTAAAACGTGTTGTTGTCCAGCAAAGTAAGTCGTTCAGCTTGTTTTTCGTCACGACTTTGTCTGTGTGAGTGATGTGCTTGTGTGCTAGCAGGAGTGTGTGTGTGGGTGAGTGTGAGGGGAGGGGGGGGGGACGTACACACAGACATTCCTTTGGAACATTGGCAATATCAGTGTTTTATAGGATTTTCTCACTTTCAGAACAATACATTGATGTTAGCATCTGGAGTACATGCAATTGTCCAAGTAGAGAGGGGGGGGGGCATTGTGGTGTTGGGTAGGCTAGGGCGAGACTCTTTACCCTGCACTGGACTTTGTAATGAGCATTTGGTTTTTGAGCTTAAAGGTTAAAGTGTGACGTGGGGTGACTTGGTCATGTGATTAGCATAACAGTTAGTGTGATGTGGCGTGACTTCAGTACCGCTAATGATTACATGGCGATGAGCATGGAACTCAGAGTTACACTGAACTAGCCTTGTTGCACTGTGCTACTGTAATACCCTCTGCCTGTGCGGCATCTTTCTTTCTTTCTTCTGTAATGAGCACCCCGGGTGCATCCCAGTCTGATGGGTTTATCTTTTACATTCTATGAGGTAATGAATCACGCTTTCTACAAACGCGTTTCATCGATTTGACGCGATTTGATCACGTGACGTTACTGGCACTCTACCGGCGGAAAAGTTTTACTGCCGCGGCTGCTGCGACGGAAACAGTATTCCGGCAGCAAAAAAAGGTGCTGAGACTGGGAGTAGGGGAAAATCCCTTCTCAGTGCCATAGTCAGAGCCACACAAGTAACGTTAGTTCATCGGTAGTGCAAATGTCCTTCACCATTAAAATTTCATTGCCATTCACGGTTCGACGGTGTTCTCTGTAGTCAGAACGCACCCAAAGAGGTTTTCACAACCAAAGCTGGCTGGTTCCCCCAGTAGATATTGGTTATAACGTGCCCTTCTGATTTTTCATATTTTATCACTATAACCGGTATATCACTACAGGCGATTTTCAACTGCGCGTCTTGCATACACATTATACACGTGTGGGTACTCAATCACGCTAATATAGCGTAGTGAATACTACTGATACATGATGCATGCTGCTGCACCTTCTCCAGTTCAGAGTGAAGAACTTCTTGGCTGCTAAGGCATCATCCAGGAAGCATCAGACCAGAACACACTATGAAAACACACATGTAGTTCCAAGTCAAGACATCAATGCCTCACACTCGTGTGTTGCTATCAGTATAGACCATATTGTTTCCGTACAAAGAGGTGTTATAAATTGTGATTCTGTATCCTTATAGCCAATTTATCGCTATATCCGATATATTGGTTATAATGATAATTTGACTGGCTTTTTCTGGTTTTGCTTTTGATATTTTCATTTTGTATAAATATAGCCGGTTTATCACTATGTCCGATGACTTTATAACCGCTATCTACTGTACTTGGAAAATCATTGTGCCTGTCCTGTTGTGCTGTGGCTGTCTGGCTTGATTCACCAATACTTGGGAAATCATTGTGCCTGTCCTGTTGTGCTGTGGCTGTCTGGCTGGATTCACCAATACTTGGGAAATCATTGTGCCTGTCCTGTGGTGCTGTGGCTGTCCTGTTGTGCTGTGCCTGTCCTGTTGTACTGTGCCTGTCCTGTTGTGCTGTGCCTGTCCTGTTGTGCTGTGCCTGTCCTGTTATGCTGTGGCTGTCCTGTTGTGCTGTGCCTGTCTGCCTTAGGTAACTGTTTTGGTGACCCTCATTTGATCCGGCTGGATGGCACCGCATACGATTTCCACAACGTTGGTGAGTACGTACTTGGAAATGCCAGCGAGGCCAACTACTACCTGGCTGTTGCCGCTAGAATGGAAATTTTCCCCATGCCCAATGCTCTCAACTTCACATCCATCACCCGTGTAGGAATTACAATTGGTGAGTGGGAAGGTTACGCAAGCATACTTGTGTGTTTCTCCTCCTCCTCCTTCTCCTCCTCCTTCGCCTCCTCCTCCTACTACTACTACTACTACTACTACTACTACTACTACTACTACTACTACTACTACTACTACTACTACTACTACTACTACTACTACTACTACTACTACTACTACTACTACTACTACTACTACTACTACTACTACTACTACTACTACTACTACTACTACTACTACTACTACTACTACTACTACTACTACTACTACTACTACTACTACTACTACTACTACTACTACTACTACTACTACTACTACTACTACTACTACTACTACTACTACTACTACTACTACTACTACTACTACTACTACTACTACTACTACTACTACTACTACTACTACTACTACTACTACTACTACTACTACTACTACTACTACTACTACTACTACTACTACTACTACTACTACTACTACTACTACTACTACTACTACTACTACTACTACTACTACTACTACTACTACTACGCCTTCGGTATTCATATGTTGGCCTATTTAACATTGGCATGCTCTGCGGATTTGTAGGCATGCTAGGCAATTTAAATATTATCCTGCAAAGTATTTTGTAGGTGCTTGACTACTATACTACGTCATGTATTACAATTGGTACATGACTTAATAATAGCCGTTTGGCATGGTACAATAACCTTTTTTTGTTTTATTTTTTATTTTTAATGGCTTTCTCTTCTTCCTCGGATGGTTTACAATTTGTATCACAATTATTTGTGGGTTCAGCAATAAAGGATGTGACTACTACTACTACTACTACTACTACTACTACTACTACTACTACTACTACTACTACTACTACTACTACTACTACTACTACTACTACTACTACTACTACTACTACTACTACTACTACTACTACTACTACTTGGTCCGCGTCAGCAATATTGTCGCTTATCTTTCGACAATTTGAACTTAGACTTTGGACGTGAACGCGTGCACTTGATGTGATAAAACTTGGTACGATGGACGGTAAGGTATAGAATGACAACTAGCTGCGAGGAATTTATTGTCCAAGGAAGAGTTCCTACTTTTTTCGGTCCTCCTCGTCGCTGCTCTCGGCGCTGGCGACAAATATTTTTGCTCGGGATCGACTCTCTTGCTTTTGCAAGCTCATCTCTCTTCCTCTCCGCTGCCTGGCTATTTTCTAAAGAGAATTCGATCGTGACGGTCGCCTTCTCTATAGGACTTCGCCTGGGCAGCACGACAGCCTGTGTGGTTCAAATCAGACGCCGTTCTTTGAAAGATTTGATTTTGAACGACGACGACGCGTACAGTACAGTCATGTACTTGCAAATCTCCACGACGCGCTGGATACTCCAAGCGAGGAGCTGGAGGTAAGGGAGCTGCGATCTCAGCTTGATGAGCGATCCCTGAGGTGAGCGATCTCGGCCGTTCAGCAAAATGGAGCTGATTCTGAGTAGCCGATTACTTTCTTGTGGCTTGCGCTGATCTTGCCTGCACAGCGTAACTAGATAATCTATTTTGATGCGGCGCCGTATCAATCAGAATCACCCACCTGTCGCTCTCGAAATCCACTCGAACTCTAGCTAGACCTTTCAGGTACTAGCAAACTAACTTGCTAACCAAAATTGGAATGAAATGGGAAGCCAAGTAAGCATTGGCGACATATAAACAAAGCTGAAAGATAAGCGACAATATCGCTGACGCGGACCAAGTACTACTACTACTACTGCTGCTGCTGCTGCTGCTGCTGCTGCTGCTGCTGCTGCTGCTGCTGCTGCTGCTGCTGCTGCTGCTGTTGCTGCTGCTGCTGCTGCTGCTGCTGCTGCTGCTGCTGCTACTACTACTACTACTACTACTACTACTACTACTACTACTACTACTACTACTACTACTACTACTACTGACGTAAGACATGTAATATAACGAGGAAGTAAATCTAACGTTTTAATGAGTTGCATTTCTTCTTTGTAATACGTTCTGCTGAGGCTGTAGTGCCGCATATGTGTCATGTGAAGATATGCCCGAAGACTGCAAGTTCGTTAACATATCTTCTCGCTGTTGTTGATGATTTTTCTTTTACTTCGCAAGGCGTTAACTTCTGAATTTCGGACAATCATAAAATTGCGACTCGTTCTACTAACGCATGTCTCACAGTGGTCTATCATAATGTTCTTAGGGAGAGCAAATGCACTGCAGCACACACTTGACTTTTTCAGCTAACTGAAATATGGAGCGTGATGTCTCTCAAACACTGTTTTCACAGAACTCTTTTGTGTGGCTCCATTGTCATCGTGTCGGTGTTCTGCTTGAACAAACTATAGGTCAAGGATCCAATACCACCACCATTGAGGCATTCGCTAAGACTGGTTCAAAAGGCATCACTGTTCTCGGCGACTTAACCGATGCTCAAATCACTGCAGGTCGTCACAGCAATTTCGAGTTCAGGAATGGTGGCTTGGTTGCGTCAGTCGGTGGCTTTAGTGCTAATATTACTGTTCAGACGGGCAAAATCTTGTTGATTGCTATGCAACGTGAGTCATCAGAAGAGACAAACAGAGACAGATGCGTTGGCACACAGACCCATGGAAAAATATGTGTGTGTGTGTGTGTGGGTGTGTGCGCGCATGTGTGCATGTGTGTGTGTGTGTGTGTGTGTGTGTGTGTGTGTGTGTGTGTGTGTGTGTGTGTGCGCGCGCATGTGTGCATGTGTGTGTGTGTGTGTGTGTGTGTGTGTGTGTGTGTGTGTGTGTGTGTGTGTGTGTGCTACACGCTCATCGCTTGCAAGGTGCACGTGCACATGTGTGTGTATTGATATAGAGAGGGGATGGTTTATGATGTTCTCCAACTCTCCCTTACCCTGCTTATACCTACCAATCACACAAGAACCTTCCGGGAACATTCAAGGGTGTCGGACACGGTACGGTCACTACGGTATTGACCGTACCCCTTTTTGCCCCAGGTACCCCGTGATTATTTCAAATGGTGAACGGTACTATTCGGCCAATAAAATGGAAAGAACTCTTCTTCTCCTCTCCTCCATGCGCTCTCACAGCCGACTCACTGCTACCCTCGGTAGCCATTACACACACCAACCAAGGAAGGGTTGCAGGTAGATACTGAAATTCCTCCTGACAGCTGTTTCGCCTTCAAAAGAGTTAGAAAATTAATGTTAGCAGCTTGTGATTGGATTTCCCACCTGCCATTTTCTTGGAACCCCTGGCAATGTGTTGCTGGAGAGGTTAGCAGCTTGTGATTGGATTACTCACCTGCCGTTTTCTTGGAACCCCTGGCACCGTGTTGCTGGAGAATTGTAACTTCTCATTCTCACACTTTGCCCGTAATCTTGCGCCCATGTTTTGTAGTATAAATCTGACCATCTCCACCTGATATCATCCTATTCAATATCACCTTCTCTGATGAGCCTTATGAAGGCGAAACAGCTGTCAGGAGGAATTTCAGTATCTACCTCCAACCCTTCCTTGGTGGGTGGGTGTAATGGCTACTGAGGGTAGCAGTGAGTCGGCTGTGAGAGCGCATGGAGGAGAGGAGAGGAAGAGTTCTTTAGGTACCCCGTGAATCAATAAAATACACTGACCTGCACTCTAAATTTCCAAAATGTTCCGCTGCGCCATCCCTCCCCCCAGGAGTAAACTGTACTTCAGATGACTGACCGCATCACCCTAAAATACCTTCCAGCGTCCCTGAACACGATTATAGTTAGCAATGGGACATGCTTAACGCCTAGAGAGCAGGATAAAGTGCACAGCGTCAGTCAGCGGTTTTGCCAACGGGAGCCAATTATACAGCGGCATTCGCCGGATTCTCTTGAGTAGGGATATCAGTGAACGCACTGCGCAGCCCATCTGCGCAGGTCAGCCTGGCCCATCTACGCGCGGCCGACAAGAAAACTCATGAGTACTTTCATTTTTTTGCAAAATAAATCATGCGAAGAAGATGCACGGAATGGCTGAAAACTAGGCTGAGGAATAGTAGCATCCAGAGACTCTCAAACAAATTCATGGTCCATCGCTTCTGACAATGGCAGCGAAGACATCAGGGAGCTGATTGCAGCAACTCTCTACCAAGCGCGATGCTGGTTACTCACCAGGGCAGGTCGCTTCCATCGCGCAAGAAATGGCCGCGAACGAGAAATGGAAGTCCGATTTTGGAACGATCTAACCAGGGAAATTCCTTGCAAATTGGCCTGAACACCTCTCATACTGGTGTTTCACGATGTGCAAACTTTCAGAAAAATCGACCGGGGAGAACGTGGTGAGTTCGTGGGTCCTCGAGTATCGCGTATGATTTGAATGGTCGCGGGGACAGAAGAACAGTAATTTTACGACTCCCAGCGGTGCAAACAGACCGCGGCCATGTTTTCTCTGTCGGCCGCGATCACGTTCAAAAAATCGATGGCGCAATGCATGCGCAGAGGCCTGCGCAGTGCGTTCGCTGACATCCCTATCTTGAGACATTGCATCGCTGTACCACAGCTTTGCCTATCCATGCAAATATTCTCAAACAACAAACACGTGTCATTTTAGAAAATGAAAGGGACTTGTCATTTCTTTGCTTTTCATAAGCATTCTCTTTGTTGTTGTCTTTGTTGTTGTCCTTGCTGTTGTTTTTTGTTCTTTTTCTTTATTCCCGACAACAGTCCCACAAGCAGCAAACTTTACCGGACTTTTGAAATCGGAACCAATGCCTTCTAATGAGTGTAAGGTCTATACCCATACACAGCTGGCTGCTCTTCAGCCAATATGGTTGTTGTTGCTGCGGAGGAGGGGGGGGTGGGGTAACTATCTATCTAACTATCTATCCATTTCTATCTATCCAACCAACTATTTATCGCTCTATTGCTCTATCTCATAATCTCTCCCCTTTCCCTTTGGCTAACTCTATCCCTGTTTTCCTGCATACCTCTCTGTCTCTCTGTCCTGTGTGAGTGTGAGTGAGTGGGTGGATGTCCATCTGCCAGCTTACCAGTCTCTTCTTTGATTTGTTCAGAGAACTAGCAGTTTTCATTTGAGTCTGTGTATTTGATCAGGTGTGCAGGTCTGAGTTGACCTTGCCACTTTTATGCATTATGGGATGCTGTGTGTGCATGTGTGTGTGTGTGTGTGTGTGTGTGTGTGTGTGTGTGTGTGTGTGTGTGTGTGTGTGTGTTCATGTGTGCATACCTATGTTGCACTACAGTCCAAATTACTGCAGCCACAAGTCCCTTCCAGTATGCTGGTGCCGAGGAGAACTACACAGCGTTGAACCCACCCGAGCAAGCTACCGTCGGAAAGGTCAACACATCCCTGGCCACAGGTGCCATCAACACCACCTGTGGAGGCGATAGTTCTTGCATTGCAGACTTCCTCGCCAGTAACGACGCATCCATCGCGGTGTCGACTCTTGAAGCCGAGAAAAGTCTCAAGGAAACCAGCACGAGAGTGTGTAAGTTGCTTTTTGGGCAGATGTGTGTTACGCATCATCAGCATAAATTAATATTACTTTGGTAGATGTATGGTTTGTGGAAAGTCATGCTATAGTGGTAGCCAAATGTAGTAAAGCCTGTATTTTTCATCACATTGGACATATCTACGGAAGAAGGGGAAACAAAACGAAGAGAAAACAAAAAATAATGGGTGTGTCATACTATACCGGTTTTCACGGTCCTATACTTCCTCCGTTGACAAAAACTTCGTGATGGATTTTTGAGGGACTAGAGCAAAACTGAAATACGACTTTCCCGAGGGGATAATGGGCTGCTTCGCCTCTCTACTACTCAGCACTGAGTTTAAGAGTACAGAGCAGCGAGCCCACACAATGAGCGAGTGAACAAGGAGCTGCTCCGATCGCATAGCGGAATGAAAATGTTCTGAATTCAAGTAAGGTAGTTCTTGTTCAGCCTGCGCAAAGCCCAGATTCGAATGCTGATGACCATGCATTCTTTGAGAAGCCTGCAGTCCGACACGAGTCTCGTGGCTAAGGAAAGTCGACTCGACTTGCTAGCAGCTGCCGTTCAGTGCTGGCAGGAGTTTCCATCAGAGAAAATGTAATGAAACCAGGGAGTCGTAAAATATTTTTACTGCTCCCTGGTGGAAACGAGTAATCGCTACAGCGGCGGATCACGCAGCTTGAAAGCCAACTACTTACTTGAACGACGGCAACATCAAGTTCAGCGAAGTGTGATCAAAGAAGCCAAGCCAAGGCTGAAAGGAACTGAACAACGACTCGAGAGAAATGACGACTCAGGTACAGCAAATGACGACAGCGACGCAGGGTCAAAAATGAGTCGAGCGAAAGCGACGCCAACTGAACTCTCTGCTCATTCCACCAACAGTTTCTCTTGTAAAGACGCCATACATAGGCTGAACTACCTTTGTCCAGTGATTTGCAGTCGATACAAACTGTTCTGGACCTGTTCTAACCGTTTTCATATCCACAAAATTCATCACAAAGTTTTGTTAATGGAGGAAGTAGAGGGAAACTACAGTCACTACCGGCATACCGGATTTTTGACTTTAATCGAAAACTACCGGTATTGGCACTGAACCATGAGTGCTCATGAAAAGGTTGTTTTGTGGTGTGACAAGGGCACAATAAAGAAACTCAGGTTTTGGTCTCCCAATGAGCAATGGGTTAGAAATGAATACTGTAAAAGCCATTATTCCCGTAGCTATGCAGAAGGCGTTACTTCAGTAACGTCTGGCGCTAGCCAGGGTCCACATAGCTTTAATTTGGTGTTTGTTTGTGTGTTTGTGTATTTGTGTGTTTGTGTCACGCCTGGCGCTATCCCGTATCTGTCCCGTACCGTACCGTACCATCAAACACAGCTGGCCACATACAGCTGGCCGCAATATTCAAATAGGGCTTTCAAACGCAAGATCATAGCGGGAAGCAACTTGGAAGAATGAGTATGAATGCGAAGTGTATGGGGGAATGCATGTAGGGCGATAGTGCGGGTTCGAATCCCAGGTAATGCCTGAAAAAATAGGAGAATTGAAAAATTTATAACATCCCTATTCTTTTTTTGCCGTCATCAAGGCGGTAGACGGTGTCGTATTACCCTCAACCGTACCTGTCCCGTACCTGTCTGGTACCTGTTCCGTACCTATCCCGTACCGTACCGTACAATCAAAGACGGCTGGCCACAATGCATATTCAAATAGGGCTTTCAAATACAAGATAACGTGAAGCAACTAGTAAGAATTAGTATGTATGGGAAGTGTATCGGGGATGCATGCAGGGCGATAGTGCGGGTTCGAATCCCAGGTTATGTCTAAAAACAAAAAGTAGAAACTTAAAAGAATTTATAACATCCCTATGCTTTTTTTGTCTAGGTCATCAAGGCAAAAAAGCATAGCGTTGGGCCCTGAGCTTCGAAGCTCTCTCGTTCTAACGAGGCGCATACATAACGATTTCCCAAACTTGACTAGTTTACGCGTACCAAAGGAAACGATTCTCACTCATTTTCAACGCTCAATAGGACAGTATATGTATGGATTTCTGTAGAACGATTTCTATTTTAACGACAGATTTCTCCTCGTTAACCCTTTCCCCACTGTCGACGTATATATACGTCATGACGTGTGCACCTGCCCACTGACGACGTATATATACGTCCTCGGTGAGCGCCGCGTTTGTACTGATGCCTCAACATATCAGTGGGGCCTGGAACTGTTCCTCAGTGGGCTGAAGGACCTGATCGACGTGTACGCAGCGTATGTGGCCAGTCTGCACAGCAGAACAGCCGCGAGCATCAAGTTTGAAGTGCGTATTTTGGCATATCGTTCAAATAAATTGTTTTGCTCAAAGTTCGTTTTCGTCAGCTTGCCCTGCTGTTTCTCGGCAAGGTAAGTAGCTCAACTACTCTGTGTCGATGGAAGGAGTCCTGTGAAGCAGTGTGAGGCGGGTAATGACTCTGAGGATGATTCTGGAGACAGCGAAATTGTGTCGGAGTCGTTTTCTGAGGATTACGAATTTGCTGCTATTCAAAAGATCGCAGCTGGCTCGGACGCAGGGGATGCTGGAGACCAAAGAGATTTGGAAAGCGATGCTGAAGTCTCTGACACCTAGGCATGGTGTTCTGAGCAGGAGCTATCTGTCGTGAGCCCGTTTGCTGAAGTTCCTCAAGTAAACTGCGATCAAATTTGAAGGTCAGATTTTTGAAAATATTTGAATTTGAAATCAAGTGTACTGGTCAGACATGCATGCAGATCACAATAGAGATGTGCATAATAATAATAATAATTCGCGGGATTCGCGTTGGCATCGCTTGAATGTTCAGAAACACACAAACTAGCCTTCGCTTCCGCAGGCCACCACTATGCCTATGCCTTGCACACCTTAGTGGCGAATGCAGACCTCACAAGTGAGTCAGGGGAGAGTAGGTGAGTCTCTCAACCAATCGGGCGTGTAACGGCCCATAACCCTGTAAACTGCATCCTTGTTACCCTCACTCCGAGCTGTGAGTACCCAGTTGACCGTGGGTGTCGGCGCAGTTCACCACGCATAAAAAGTCTTTACTCACGTAAAAAGTCTTTCCACGCTCCATGCTACCAGCGCGGGTCTCGAACTCGGGACCTCATGATTCGCAGGCAGGCCTGCAAACCAATCGGCCATATGCGTTGGTACCGTGCATACATGTAAGTATTGTATGTTGAGTACAGAGCCAGGCACCTACAGGATGGTGATTGCTATCTAATATGAATCCAGAATAATCCCGAATAGTCAACAATTGTGCAATTTTGAACCACTATCAGAAATTGCACAGCCGATTGTTTCTTGAATTTTCATGCGTACGTACACCGGTATGCAGTATGCACTCGGCTGTTTAGGGAAAGCTTCAGACTATTTTGGTAGCTGGATTGTCTTGCCAGTGAGTGTCCAAATCAGAGAATGAGCTGTATTGCATTCTCTATCAATATGACTTTACCTGTGCCGCGTACGTACGTACGTACGTACGCGTGCGGCCAGTGATGATTCACCCTGGGATGCGCCGAGCACAGTGAGCCAACCACTGCCACTGCACCGGCTGCTATTAAAGCCGATGCAGTTGCTGTGGTTGCTACTCCAGTTACTCGGCATCCTCACTGTCCATCACATGGTTTTGTCTTGAAGTAGGTAGGGCTGCTGGAGGATTCAAGCTTTACGAGGCGCCCAAGAAAAAAGAAAGACCCATTCTGGATCGCGCAGTCGCATATGATTCAAGCGCCGTATAAAACGAGTAGCTGTACTCTAGTCTAGGTTGCCGTAGAACACCAGGATCATATCAAGCTTGTTATATGACATTTCTCCATTCTGAAGTCAACACTGACCAGTTATAGTACTGCTTGCCATTGCTTGTCTGATCTTTGTCATCAATTGCCTAAATTGAATGTATTTTGAGGAAAAATCGCCAAAAGTCGCATATCTAAATATGGTGTTATGAGTCTCGTACAATGAAATCCTACAAAATTTCTTTGGATTCACAGTGCATATTATGTCCATACCCAACATCTCCAATCAATTTTGGACCAGAATATGCATTTTCAAAAATTGCCATTTTTGGCCCAGTGGGAGGTGATTTTCCGGTCAGGGCTGAAAGGGTTAACTCATTAGAGTTAGCACTTCGTTATATATGGCTTTTACAGTAAATAGAAAGAAAATAATTGCCCAACAAATTGTGGGACAATTTTTAAAATTATCAAAATTGCCCAAAAAAAGAAAAAATGACCGATATTGATGAAAACCAGGAAAATGAGAGAAAATTAAGGGAAACTGGGTGTGTGACTAAGGGATTTGCTTTGGCTGGGTTGGCAAGTATCATGGTGTGTAGGCGCTACATGAGCTGCGCTGGTGGGACTCCCCCGACCAAGGGTCTCGAGATCGGCGTACACAGCAAGCACCATGAGGCTGAGGCGAGATGACTGAGGGGGAGGGAGAGAGAGAGAGACAGACAGAGAGAGAGAGAGAGAGAGAGAGAGAGAGAGAGAGAGAGAGAGAGAGAGAGAGAGAGAGAGAGAGAGAGAGAGAGAGAGAGAGAGAGAGAGAGAGAGAGAGAGAGAGAGAGAGAAGAGAGAGAGGTGGGGAAATTACAAGTATAGAGAGAAACAGAGTTCTGGGGGCATATCGCCACTATGCCTATAATGCTACTTGTAGAAAAGCACCAGTCATGAGCAGAGCACCAGGCACTCTGTTGCAGGTGACGCTACGCAGCAATCTTGAAGCTCTGCAGGTGTTTCCGGGCTGGTTGCTTGTCCAGAACTGCCTATGGCAATCTATTCCACACTGGCACGATGCAGTATGGGAAAGAGAGCAGAAGGTAGTCATTTGCCGGACCCTGCACCAAGCGGAATCCTGTATTCACCACAATTTATGCATGAAGGTGCTGTGGATCCAACGTGCATCCCTGGATCAAACCGAGTCATGTCACATCAGAATCGTTTCCACTGCACCAAAGGCGTCCAGTTAGGGCAAGTCTAACTGTAAATTGCTCGTGCAAGGAGCTGTGCATGTCGTCAACGTGAAAATCTGTTGGAACAGCATTGTATGCGCCAGTTGCACACTATTGGGGATTGGGTACTCTTGGTAAAATCTTGGTGTGCTATAAGAGACCCTGTCTTTAGAGACCATCTCATTAGAGACTAGCTGTCTTTAAAGACAGATAATCTCTAATGACAGGGTCTCTATCTGTGACGGTCTCTTATCCCTCTCATTAGAGACTACCTGTCTGTAGAGACTACTTGACTTTAGAGACCATCTCTTTAGAGAGACTGCCTGTCCTTATTCATCAACCATTTTTAGGGACCAGCTTTCCAATCAAGTCCCGGCCCATCTTAAAAAAATTAGAAAATTAAAGATACGGCAGTCTGTCAGTAGAGACTTAGAGAAGTAAAAGATAAGTGTGTCGTGATTGCAGGGGTCATTTAACTTAGTGCACGCCAAATGGAAGATGTTTGCAAATCGGAAAACCCTTAGACTCGTTGCACTTCAATTCTCATGGTAGTTTAGCTGTGCCCGGCACATTAGGCAGTCGCCAATAACAAGTTGGGCTGCATCACTGCAAGACGCGGGTGTACTGTTTTGTTGTGAGGATGATGCGTACATTGTTTTTGACCTCGACCCTTGGGACCCCCGAGGTTTTGATCAGGATTTTGTGCGCGTGTGTTTTCTTTCTCTGTGGATTTTCCCCTCCTGTTTGTTAATCCTTCAAATTTGTGAGCACTGTAGTTGAGCTGCCGTGATCGGCCCTACTTGTGCAACTATATAATAATAATAATATATCTCCTGGTTTGCGGTGTTCTAGCTCGAGTGCCACCTTTGTTAACTGTCAAGTCATCATGGCCAAAAGATGCAGCACTCAGGAATACGCTGCAGGGTATTTTTGGACAGAACAGTTCCATTGCCATCGAAGTGAACGTCAGCGAATCTGCCAAGTTGGAATCGTTTGTTGTGAAGGCGGCCATAAACTTGACAGTCGAGTCTGAGCTTAGCGGCAATGTTCTGAACATCTCTTGGACACCGCCTGCTCGTAGGCTGAGCGGACTGCAACTGACCGTGTCAGCCAACGACAGCAATGGCCAGTCAGTGGAGAAGACGATTCCGATTACACTGTGCGGTTGCCATGGTACCTGTGAGACACCACCCTCAACGCCTGTGGACGCATTCAAACAGCTGACGTGTACATCTTGTGATGCCGGTGAGTGCTGATTTCCAGGGCAAATATGCTGTCTGTACACCATTGAATCACAGCGACCACTTTCTCAATTCAAAATAATCAGGCCATGTCGCGCCTTTGGTCATACATGTAATTATAATATTAAAACAGCGCGTTGTACATGTACTTCAAAGTAGGTGCTTGATCATGTTAATAAACGAAGTCCACAGGCATCAGAAAGTCATCAGTATCATTTAGCCGATAGCATCATGATTTATGCAGCCTACACTTTTCACTCACTTTGCGCAACCAACACTCAGCGCTCGTATAATACTGTAAAGTCTGCTGCAAGCGCCCACCCAATTTTGTATGATCTGCTGGCCTGTACACACTGACCCCATGCACTGTCACCCCTACTGTACAAAAGTGGATCTCACACTGTAGCGCGAAGAGTGCTTTGCTACAGTAAACTATGTCAAGGACAGCATCGGCATGCCTGGCGCTAGCCCGCACCCGTCCCGTCCCGTACCATCAAAGTCAGCTGTCCACAATATTCAAATAGGGCTTTAAAAATGCAAGATCATAACGTGAAACAACTTGGAAGAATGATATGTATGCGAAGTGTATGGGGGGAATGCATGCAGGGCGTTAGTGCGTGTTCGAATCCTAGGTTATGTGTTGAAAAAAATAGGAGAAATGAAAAATTTATAACATCCCTATGCTTTTTTTGCCTAGGTCATCAAGGTGATAAACGGTGCCGTATTACCCTCAAATGCAAAGAGAAAGTTGACTCTCACTAGGCAAAAAAGCATAGCGTAGGGCCCTGAGCTTCCAAGCTCTCTCGTCTCTTTGCTTGTCCCTCACTCTGAACTGACAAGATATGAACCTTGCACAACTGCAATGATGGATTTTTGTTCATGAAAAGCACATAAAAATAGTCGAATATCACCATATTACATGCATTTCGTGCATAGCATGCCATATCACCGGTTGATTCCAATATTCGGAGTGTAAGCTCCAGAGGTGATTTTTAACTTTTTTGAGGGTTTCAGGAAAGTGCGACTAACACCCCAGGAAATACGATATCAACTGACCCAAGGGACAGCCATGTTCGATCCACATCCGGTCAACCCTGATCACTTTATACAAAATTGAGTCGCATTTACAAAGATGTGAAACCTCTCCACCGTTGCCCGCCAGCAAGACATAAACACTAGTGCTGTACTACTGTATAAGTGTATCAAATTGAACTCGGATAATGAGCCAATATTAAATGTTAAATAGAAGAAGGACACACATGGGAACGAGTTATGAAGCAACTATCCTCGACTGTAACAAGATAATAGATATCCTTAGCTAAAAAAACGTAAATGCAAATCTTTCCGTACTTCAGATCGTTCAAGCTGAATTTTCCCTTAGCACAAAGTACGTTATAGTTGAGACGAAGTAGTCGTGACAACCATGGCGATGTGAATTTTCGTGGAAACAGGTGCGGGAAATTCAAAATTTTGAACCAGAGATTGGTTTGCTGTCGTCCCGAAAGAATACCTTGGCAAGGTCTTTTACTCTGGAATAGCAAAAGCACGGCGAAAATGAGTTTTCGCTGTTCCCAGGTCCTTGGAAAACCTTTCCTAAACGCAGCACCGAAGACTGTAAGGGTTCTTCAGCTCCAGCACGTCTGGGAGAGGCCGATGAATTTCTTCCTCAGGACTCTAGTGCCGTGGAACTGGTCCTTTGTTTCCTAGATGGGATAGAGGGAGAAAGGCACGAAGCAGAGGACGCAGGCATTGTCGACTGAAAGGCAAAACTCGCCAAAAATAAATATCACAAGACGAAGCAATCTCTCCACTCTCATCTCGATCTGCACGACGCTTTTTATCTCCCGCCAGTTACAAAACAATGCGAGTTTTTGCATTTTTTGCAGAACTTCCATAACGAACATCGACCCGTTATGTTGACCTCTGTAACGTTTTTCCGTTATCCGATAACGTCTTTTGTCACGGCCGGGATTGAGTACTGTAAAAGTTAGCGTTATCGTACTTTTGCTAAGGATGTCTAATAAGAACTCAGAATGTGCGATAACAGGGCACAAAACTGACAGGCTCCTGAGACATTCCCGTCTTTGGTCCTACTCAACCTTGAACCTTCCAAGTTGGAAGGGTGTTGGTTTGCATACCGGAGATGTGTTAGAGCTAGGTCTTAGGTCGTTCAATGTCTCAATAGCCTGTCAGTTTTGTGCCCTGTTACCACCGTGCCTATTATCTTGTTACAGCCGTGATGGAGAGTTGCTTCATAACTCGTTCCATATGTTTTCTTCTTCTATTTTACATTTGTATAATTAATTATTTATCATTATTACTGGGTCCGTTACATCGCTTATCTCCCACGCACCGTTTGACAGTTGAAACCCAGTCTGATCGCGATATCTAACTCACTTTCGTTTGGGAGGTTGTGATGGCAAGATCAAAGGAGACCAGAAAGAAAAAAAACATCGCGACTAGCGCCAGTGGCATCGCGATTCGTACGACTCTGATGGGAAAGTGGGGAGCTTACTTTTTGCACCAGTGTCACTGCATGCAGGCTAGTGCAGCGGAAAACCAAGCACAGCTCAAAGACCGGAACTGAGGCAGGGGAAATCGACATCCTTACCTGGATCCGCATGGAAAGCATGACAGTCACGGCAGAGTTATGCTGAAGAAGAACTGTGTTTTCGATGCGATGCGTCAGAAGCTTTGGTTGTTCCGTCGTGTCGCTGGCACTCCTGAAGCTGCCAGGGAAGCCCTTATTCTACCAGCACGATGGTGCACGGCCCCAAGCAACCAAACCAGCAGCAAGGTGTTTGAATTACTATATTTTCCAAAGTACCGTATATTCTCTATTATAAGCGCCGTGCTTATATTTTTTCAACACCCCTCTACCCCGTGCTTATATAGGAGACCGCGCTTATTTTGGAGACCGTGCTTATATTTTTTCAACCACTGCATCCATACAGAGCAAGAAGAAATACATGCTAGATATCATGCATGCCGCATTGATTTCCACCAAGACCGTGCTAATAATAGAGACTGCGCTTATAATGTTTCGAAAGGTGCTCACAGTGTGCTAGTATTAGAGACTGTGCTAGTAATGGAGACCTGTGCTTATAATAGAGAATATACGGTATATGCCGCACTTTGAACAATCAAAATTCACCTAATAAAAGGTGTGCGGCTTATACTGCGATGATAAAAATTAACGGTGATAAAATAATAGGATTGATGTCTGTATTTTGAGGCAAAAATGGGGAGGGGGGGGGTGCGGTTTGTACTCCAGTGCAACTATACTCCAGTAAATCGGTACTGGGTAGAGGGGCGTCAGCGATGTAGAATGGGAAATGTCTTCGCAGGGTGCAGAGTAAGGTTTGGGAGAGGGTATCTAGAGGTAAAGCATGGGGAGATAGTACACAAGAGTATGGCTTGGGAAGACGGTACACCAAGCGTATGCCTTGGTATGAGGATCTCCAGGGGCAAAGAGTGATGGGACGTGTGTTGTTCAGTGCTCTGGTGTCTTGGCTTGAATGATTTGCTTTTGTGTAACAGGGCGCACTGGACAGCACTGTGAGGATGACTTGGATGAGTGCAGAACTGAACCATGTGGGAAGCATATTGTCTGCGAAGACAAAAAGTTGCCCATGTCTGGTCACACTTGCACCACCAGGTGCATCAGTGGGTTTAGATTGGAGGCTGGAAATTGCCTCGATATCAATGAGTGTACTGAAAAAAGAAACCACTTCAAACAATACTGTATCGCCGATTCCACCACATGCTCAAACGTACTAGGATCTTATCTGTGTCCATGCAAGACTGGATTCACTGGTGCTGGCAACCAATCCTGTACAGGTAAGGTTTGGGGTTCAAATTGAAACAGACAAACATGCATACACACGTGCATGCACGCACGCGCACACACAAACACACCATTGGACCATTGGACGCCCATCGCCGGAGGCGATGATAGCGATGCTACAGCAGAAGCCGTAGCAGCTTGTGCTGGGATTGCACCATTCAACAGCTTGCAAGGCTGAAGAATTGACCGCCACTGTCAGCCTGGTCTACACCACACAGCTATGAAGTGACTTTTTCTGGCCAGTGAACACACACACACACACACCAACTACTACTACTATCAATCAGCTACCCCAGTGGGGTCACGCCGCCCTCCACTCAGAGAACTGAGCGCAAGGTGAGGGGCAGTGGCGCAAAACAAAACAGGAAGTACAGCAGAATGAATTGAAAAAAAAGGAAATCAAAACAAGCTGCCATATTGATGGAAAAGAACTCACCAACAGAGGAAAAAGATATCACAAACCAGATGAACAGTCTGCTGCAGGTCCACTATAAAAATTAATCGACTGAAAAAGGAACAATATAAAAATAAATGTGAACATGATGTTCTGTTCCACAAACGTCTGTATGCGTGCTGCTTTGGCCTTCGTGAATCAGGAAAACACAATCTTGAGTTCGAGGGTGGGCACCAAACGTCCCACAAGGGGTCCACAACACGTACTTTCACGAGCGACGAGGAGTGTGTACAGCAAGCTAATAACACTACACCATCGCCGCACGACGACTGGCCATTCAGGTCCAAACAACACGGCCAAGGACAAATTCACGATTCCAGCGATACACCGCGCAGGAAGAAATTTCTGCGAGTTTGACCTGCACACACACACATACACATACACACACACACCTGCCTGCATGCATACACACACACACACACACACACACACACACACACGCGCGCGCGCGCGCGCCACACACATCCCTCCCCCCCCCACACACACACATATGCATGCACACATACACACACGCAAACACCCATTGGACACACATACACACCAACACGCACACCAACACACACACACACACACACACACCAAAACGCGTGTACAAACACACACACACACACACACACACAGAGATACTGATGGATGGACGTTCATGTCTATGTAGTGTGTAGCATCACACAACAATGATGCAACCAAGTCTTTCTCCGCCGTTACGAATTTCGTGTAGTACTCATCAGACAGCATATGACCAAGCCTAGCATTCACTAGAAAAGAGGGCAGAGGTGATGGAGGTACAACATGTCAATAGTGCCTGGAAAAGGAGGTGGCAAAATCAGCGAGATTATAAGAGAAAAAGAGCACTATTGAAATGTTGTACCTCCATCTGGCCTCTTCCCTCAAGACCCTCCGTATATATTCTAGTGAATGCTAGTCTTAGTCATGGCATGCTGTCTGATGAGTGTTACACACGAAACTCTGAGTAACGGCAGAATAAGACTTGCCGGGCTGCATCATTGATGTGTGATCATTGTATTACTGGCTCTGTCCACTGGTCATAGAGCAATATACACAGACTGAGGACCTTAGATGTGTGTAGTATATGATGGCACACACTAGTCGGTTGTCTGATGTGTGTGGGGATGTGTGTTTGCGTGTGTCCACATGTGTACGGGATGGGATGTATGTGCATCTGCTTATATGGTTGGATTTGGGCATGATTTGTGTACATAACTGGGATTTGTTTGTGTCAGTGTTTTTTTATGTTCACATAATACTCTCGAATGTTTTGACAAAGTGTGTGTGCATGGGAGCGTTGCTTTGTCGGAATATAATAGATAACACTGCAAACACAGCCTTTCGCCTCTGTTGTGTGTGTAATAGATTGTACATAATGTTTTGCGCTTGCTTGCTTGCGTGCGTGCATGTGTGTATGTCCTTGATTGCAGACATCAACGAGTGTGCTTCGAGTGGCATGAATGACTGTGATGACCCCAACGCTCTCTGCACCAACACAAGGGGAAGTTACATGTGCTCCTGCAAGCGTGGCTTCAACGGCACGGGCAGGACAGCCGAGAACGGCTGCTTTGGTACGGTACTTGACTGGTGTTTTCCCTCTTTCAACAACGAGGACCACTCATTGTTCTGCTTACGCTGCCATGATGATAGAACTTTTGTTCCCAGTGTAGTCTTCTACTAATCCAACTACTTTCCAGCACCATATGCCATCCTATACCATATGCCATCCTCGTCGATCTCTCACAAACAGATCACTTCCCAAAGAACGGGTCATTCTGCACAATTATGTTGTCTGATTTTCATTTTTCTAGAAAAGTGTTTGCTCGCCACAATGGAGCTTGCGCTTTTCCACCTAAACGACTGGACACTTGATAACACATGACACTTGACTTGATTTTCTTTGCTTGATATTGCTAAAAGACTTGGTGCAGATCTCTCAGTATAGCACAACCCATGGGGAGGTTCCACTGTCCACTTGTAACATGCTTTGACCTTACCCAATTATTATTATTAGGCCAAAACAAATAACGACCTTGTTTCCGGTCGCCCGACCGGGCCACTTTTTCCCAAATTCTGAAACTTTTTTTGTTCCCAAATGCATACAAACGGTGGCAATGCCATGTGTGCAAGTCCACTCAACGAGTCATAACTCAGTCAAATCTCAACCGAATTCCACAATCGAACACCTACAAGGTAGCAGAGATTCTCAGCTGTCGGCTCGAAAACCTCCGGGGTCGATACGAGTTAGAATAACGGAGCTGGAAGTACTCGAACTGTTTGCTTGATTTCTCAGGATGTACGAAAACAGGAATACACCACATGCTGTACAAGAACAGTGAGTCAGTCAACTTTGACATTGATCCTTGCCATGATATATGTACAATGTACATGTGTAGGTGCTCTTGTCCATCAACACCACGACGATTGAGGAACCAAAAAAAGTATCCAAAAAAAGTTTCATTCCGGCCGACCGAGTCTCCTTTTTGAGGGGTTGCCGACCGGAAACAAGCCTATTTTTTGTTTTGGCATTATTATTATTATTATTATTATTATTATTATCGCGTTGACATCGCCAAGCAAGCTTGGCTAGTTTTCGCTTAGGCCAACTGGAATGAAGAATGAGGAACGAGAGGGGTCAATGAGGTGCTAATACACATCCATCAGCAGATTAGGACACAGAGAAAAAATTATATCCAAAGAGTTCACTCTATATTTTATATAGCGCTGTCTGGCGGTTGTCCTCGTTGCTGGACAAACAGCAGTAGTGTGTATTGAGAATGCACATCTGAGCTGAGAATGCCGATGCCCAGTGTTGGCATCTTCACAAAAGGACGCGGCGTGTTTGGGACCTACTGTCTCGTAACTGTGTGTACGAGGCTGCGTGTCACATTGTTTAGAAAGACGACGACATTGTTTCAAGGCATAAACAAGGGTCGCTGAGATCGCGTGGAAGTACTTCATATCAGGAAACATGATGATGGCGCAAGCTAAAAGTCCACAGTCGACGTTCCACTGTAGACAACAACATTGTTTCAGGCACCAACAGGCGTCATTGAAGTCTGATTTTGAAGCGTAGAGATACGAGGATGCAGAAGGAATTTGTTTGGGAGCACATGTTCCGCAAGTTGCACGCTCGAAATTCCAAACAGCAATGACATGCAAGAGACATTGCACAGGATTTTGAAGGGCGCGTGCCCCTGTGACTCGCGCATGCGTGCAGGTTGGGCCAGCTCGCTGGGCTGGCTGCTAACTCGTGTTAGCATGCTAACGCTCATTTAGCCATTGGACTACATGTAGTGCAATGTATTGCTGTGAGACAATCTCATGTTGAGCTTTTCTTTATCCTCATAGCTCACTTATTTCCCTGGTGTTCTTTTTCCTGGTTCTGTTCTCATCTGCCGGTGGCTTTTTTGCTGGTGGTATTTCCTACAGACATCAACGCTTGCTCCAATAATGTCCACAACTGCATTGCCGTTTCGACGTGCTCTGATCTGGACAATGGCAAGCACACATGTACGTGCCCCGACAAGCAACTGCAGACCAGAGACGGCACATGCGATGGTAGGTCGAGTGCGAGCGATAATGTGTACATCTAGTATCCTCAATTTGCCGGCAGCACCGGTCCATCCTTTGTGGACCTGTCAGCGCGCACGGAGAAAACGAAGCAGAACCATTTGGCAATGGAAACTATTTTATCAAGAAAATGTCACGGTTGGCATGAGATTAGACTGAAGCAATTTTATCTAGAACCAGATTTAAACCAGCTTCAAGTGTACCTTGCCACTGTGACTCAGAGGTCTCACACGTGATGTCAACCGGTACATGGTCGTAGCTCAAGTCAATTACAAACATCTCCATCCATAAATCTCCCTGTTCTGGCAAATTATGAAGTGAAACTCCTGTAGGGAGATTGCCCGTTTATCTACTCTTCTTCAGAATCTTAAAAATCATCCTCATCAAAGAACCAAACATAGGCTGCGTTCGTTTTGGTCTTCTTGGTAGAGTAGAGTGAATGTTGAGCCGGTAGATGGTAGTTTACCAAAGCAGTTCTAATGTGGAATGCCTAATTTTAGCGAGTAAAGGCTTTTTTAGCGTTTTCTGGATTAGGACCAATTTGCGATGAAAAAAACTTTAGTGATCCAAGTTTCAGAGTAAAGAAAAGAATACCGTCGTACTGTACTGTACATGCAAACTATCGATTGGCGCAACGAAACTTTAACGAAAACACTCCTTTCGCTAAAAATCACCTCAAATATCACCGGCACTAAAATTAGCCATTTCACAACCATTTCGGTAGAACGTCGATTTTACAGCACGACGTACGATATCTTTTAGCAAACAGCTCTCATCATCACACAAGTACAGAAATCCCGTACCTCTACTAGCCAGTGCAGGCTGTCGTAATAAAATCACTTATCCGTGTTCCTTTACCATGCACACTTCAGTTGTAATAATTGTAGTAATGTGGTGTACACATTAGTTGTAATATAGTGACTTAGTGTACACTTCTAGGAAAGTGGTTGCTCCCCATACTGGAGCTCGCAAGCCCTTTCCAAGCAAATCATCGCAGAAGTCGCTACCACTATTTCGTAGTGTACATACACTTCAGTCGCAATAATAATAAAAATAATAAGTTGCAATAATAATGATTATAGTGACTTAGCTGTAGTGACATGAGTGAATGCATAATAGAAAGTCAGTGACACTGCAAGGCCTTCAGGGTTTTAGGGAACATTCACTAAAAGTAGACATGCATCATGCAACGCTTCCAGGTGTTCTTGTTCTGCGTATGCCTCGGTAGTCCATCCAACTCCTGCATGCTCTGCTAATTGACTTTCTCTAAGCGTAGTGCTGTTGGCCACATTCTTCATAGAGCTAAGTCGGAGGAAGGAGTTTAGGAGTGGTTCAGCTGATCTTTCATGCTAGTCTTACAATTATGAACAATGACTGCTTCAACTCATGGCCTAGGGTTAGTTGATGGCCTCCTCTGCAATCTCTACCGTCCTAAACATCTGCCTTTTGTGTATTGTTTGTCTCCTTCCTACCTACCCCAACGCAGTCGAGCCCACCTTCTCGAAGACCTTGACCAGTCACGAGGTGACAGTGGGTGACACTGCCACGTTTGTGTGCGGCTTCATTGGTTTGATTCGCGGCGGTGCTACGTGGCTGGACAACAAGGATGTCGTTATAAAACATAGCGAACTATATAAGCTGACAACCAAGGTATGGATCGTGCCGGTGCAAGCACACATTTCATCCGACATCATCCATTGCACTGTACTTTACATTCTTCCTATTAGGTAGGGGCGAAATGAAGGTCTCAAATTCCCATTCGAACCTTCTTTATTAAAACGAATGAAGGTGTCGAAGGATTCTTTTTTTTTATGATCACGGAAACGCTCGGAAATCTTAAAAATAAAAGGGGGCAAAAAATCAGAACCCAATACTTATGTTTTATGTGCAATTCTTTCTGAATCTGGTGGTATCAATGTATATCCATTCCAGGTAAAAGAATACTTTGGCCCAGCACACAACTATAGATAGAGGCAAGGTTTTAACATACTCTTGATAGAGGCCATACCTAATACCTGTTTGTGAGTCAATTGTCCATATTTCTGACAATTTAGATCAGTGTACTTTGGATCATGTACAGATGTGTTAGCCTTGGCCTTTTGGACACAAAGCGACAAGAGATCACTGCTCTAGTGTACAGCCAGTTGCATGCTTGAACAATACCAAAATGGACGGAAAAAGCCATGTTGCGTAGTAAATATCAGATGCCCAAATTCATCAAAAATTGTCAAATCTGGATATGTACTTTTCGCTCATCTGCTCGCATCCAGCGACTGAATTGGTGATGGTGATGAGAGGGAATAGTCAGTGGGTGAGGAACTTCACCTGCCTCGATGATTTCAGGCCATCGCTGCGCTCCCTCTCGCTGCTGCTGGGAGAGTGAATACTGCAATGGCTTCAGCGATGGAGACTTTTATTATCGATTCAAATTATGAGACTACACTCGTATGTATCGCTACTACAACTTTCCAGACACCATCACTACTAGTAGTAGATATCGACGGCAGCTACAGCAAGCTATATTCCTGGTACAAGCAGCATAACTGAGCGAAAACAGGATCGAAATCGCAAAACTACTCTCCTACTAGTATCGCAGAGCGCCAAACACTCTGGACGAATACAATCAAAAAAGTCGTCTATGAGTACACCATGGTAGATCCACACACTACAGCAAAACAGGAACACGCTGGTGACTGGAACAGGGCCAGTTCTTCACTGACTTGTGACTTGTCACTTCTTCGGTTCCGGTGCGCACGCGGACCGTGCCCCTACTTGTAGTACAGCATGGACAGTGCTAGTGCATTCAGCACATCGCTTAAAATCAATGCATGCATGCATGCACTAAACCCGTGTCGACCTTCGTTCGAATCGAAAACGAAGGTTCGTTTCAAAGGAAAACGAAGGTCCTTCGAACCTTCGACTACTTCGTTTCACCCCTACTATTAGGTAATGCAAAATATTTTGAAGCCATTCTTGTGCAGAGTGAGATAAATTCTTGTGATGCAGATGAATCGTCAGCCATGCATAACATCTTGCAAGATAATTTTGAGGACTCCATTTCAACTAAGTAGTGCAACGAACAAATTTGGATCAACAAAGAAAAGAATGAAGCTGATAATCGGTTTCCGGGACTTTTTCAAGCCTATAGCAACTACATGCATGGTTCAACCTGTGGATTTGGCTTTCTCAGATGTGCAACCATGCTGATTAGAGTCCGTAGATCGCAGTCAATTTACTGGTACTAAAAATATAGCAATTTGGCCGGGAGGGCGAAAGTTCAGAGAGGGCGCTAATGATAAACAATCCATGTTGTACTTAGATTTATTGGGTGGTACATGTAGGCTTGACGCATCAGCTCTTAAGCTGTGTTCCCAACTGGCGCGTGGACGCAGTACGCTTGCGGTTCATGCGTGCAAATACGCACGCTCAAGCTTTCACAATAAAAACAGCAATCCGAGTCGTATTTAGCGCGTGCGACACCTTCGAGTACTAATTTTTTGACCCCGCCAGTCAAAGTGACTGGCATGTACGCTGGTATGCGCCTGATACGCGCTGAAAATTCCAACATGTTGGAATTTCCATTTCAGAGCGTTTCCGTACGCATGGCGCCCCAGAGGCCAGCAAAATACGCACAACCGCGTGGTTTCACGCGTTCACGCGCCAGTTGTGAAAATAGCTTTACACAGAATTGCAACGGTTATTCATGAGTAGGGCAGCTAGCAGATGTACCCTGATCCCTTCCTCTCTTCTTGCTGTTCAAATCATGTTTGTGTGCAGAGCTCTAACATCACAACCACCACAACACTAAAGTTCGAGGTCACCTCCACGGATCAAGCAGGCACGTATACATGCCGTGGTGGGAACAGCCGTAAAACTGTTTCTCAAGCCTACAAACTAGATGTCAACCCTGGTAAGCTGCGGCGAGGCAACGCTTAGGCCACCTTGTTTAGTAAAAGTTGTACGAACGCTTACACACACCCTGTACCATGTACTATGTATACACAAATCTGCAAATGCACTGGATGTGCACCCACAGATTTTTTCTTATAGCAACGATAGTGAACAAGATCTGAATGAGACAGATCAAGACTTGTGCCAGATAACTGTCTAATCCACACAACTGGCGAAGCCATGTGAATCGACCACCAATGCACACCTGGTCTACACCACACGGAGTACATCGGTATAAAACGGCCAAGGCGGTTGTCTATGCACACCCTACACACACACACACGCACACATGCGCACGCACACACACCCACGCACACACACATGCACACACACGCACACACACACACACACACACACACACACACACACCTCAGACCTGCCCATCGCGGAAGCGATGATAGCGAACAGCTATGTTAGACATAGCAACTTGTGCTGGGATTACACCATTCAACAGCTTGCAAGGCTGATGAATTGACCGCCACTATTTTTAGCCTGGTATCCACCACACAGCTGATTGAAGTGACTTTTTCTGGCCAATGAATCCCTATTTTTCATTTTTCCATTTTTTACACACAAACACACACGCACACACACGCACACTTACACTTACACATTGCTGAAGCGACGATACCGGACCGGCTATGTTAGGCATAGCAACTTGTGCTTGGATTATACTATTCAACAGCTTGCAAAGGCTGATGAATTGACCACCACTAACTTTAGCCTGGTTTACACCACACAGCTAATTGAAGTGGCTTTTTCTGGCCATTGAATTCCTATTCTTCAGTTTTTTTGTTTTTTTCATTTCTTTCTTTTTTGACACACAAACCACAACAACCACTCCGGCTTGCACCGGCCGTTGACCAGGCGCGTAGCCAGAGTGGATACTTTGCAGTCAGGTATCCATACGTGCTTGGCCAGGACATGTCAAAAATGCACTGTACTACTTCCAGTTCCTGCATATAATAAGTCTATAGGCACCGACTTCACGCGTGGAGTCTACTGTTGACTGAAGAAGAATTCGCAGGATCTACATGTAGGACATCTAATCTAGCATTGGTTAGGACATTGTGCAGCCCGTGCAGCCCGATACATGGCTTTTTAACGTGATTTTTTGGGGCTTTTTTAGACTTGGAGCAAAATTCTGCACACTTTCGCGTGTTTCCATGATACGACAAGTTGCGCACGGTCTGCTCACATTCAAATACAATGCTGCCAACAAAAGACAGCGTGCAACAAAAAATCTTTCCCTGCAAAGGCACATTTTCGGCCATAACTCTTGAACGGCTGGTCAGTTCGAGACAAGATTTTCAGAGATTTTGCAGCTATTCATGCTCTTTCAACTGATGTAGCACTCGATATGAATTTACAAATTCGATTTTTCAGTGATTTTACGACCAGGCTGCCACCTTAAAGTGCTATTTTGGTCTATGCTCTGACCGCCAAATATGCTGTTGGCGCCACTAGTGCTATTCTTCAAATGCCATTTTTGTCAATGCTCTGACCGCCAAAATGCCGGTTATAAGGACTTGCTTGCTACTTTGTTAATCACCCGCCGAATGATTGTATTCGACTTGAAGAGTAAGGGCGCGTTCAGACTACCATGAACCCTGTCAAACCGTAAATGGTGATAAACCGTAAATGGTGATAAACCGTAAATGGCGATAAACCGTGAAGGACATTCACAATACCGATAAACTAACGTTACCGGTACATAAGTTTTGCAGCTCTCACCGCGGCATTGAGAAGGGATTTTCCCTTTTTACCAGCCTGAGCACTCTTTTACTGCTGGAAAAGGTTTACTGCGGCAACAGCCGCGGCTGTAAATCTTTTTCGCCGGTAGCGTGCCAATAATGTCACGTAATCAAATCACCTGGGAAACTTTCCCATTCCGTCACTTTTTATTGGTAGTCTGAATGCGCCCTAATGGTACGAAAAGCCTAGTCGAAATTATATGGCTTCTGTGCTGATTTGCTTTCCTCCAACCAAAAATCGATTGTGTTTTTGAAACTACAATTCCTTAGCCGCGTAGTCACACATTATCTTTTCCACTTTGTTGAGGTAGAAATTTGACCTTTTTCCTGTGCTTCTGTTTCCTTGCAGCGCCTTCCACCGGAATCGGCAACGGAACCTTGATCTATATCATTGCCGGCATCTGTGGTGGCTTTGCCTTCCTCATGGTTGTGGGTGGCATAATCATAATATGCAAGAGGAAACATCTGGCTCAGGGCTACAAGATGAGGGGCGAGAAAGCTAGAGCAAGTGGTGTGGAGATGAAGGCTGCTTTATCTGCTGCTTCCTTCCAGCCCAGCGTCACAAGCTCCGCCATCTAGGACTTTGGCGGCTGGTCAAGGTCTTCTTTCCCGTCCTAGTATAGGATGCTTTGAAGGGAAGAAAAACTATGTGTGTATTTATGTATTTTGTTGTATCCTCCACCGTTCATCAGTTCCAATTGCCTAAGGCAAAGAGAGAGATAAGCTAGATGTAGAATGGATATGTCCCCGCTCTAGTGTGTCAACATGAAATCCAGACTAAAGATAGTATTGGCAAATGTTTTGCATCCACTTGCTTCTGGCTGTTTGGTGTGAGCTATTATTCATCGCGGTGCTGTGTTGCACAATAATTGTGTATAAATCAAGAAGCTTACCACCATTTTCTTGTTCATCATCTGCATTGAAGTAAAAAAAGTATGTTATTGTAAATGCCTCCACCATGCATCCGTTCCAATTGCCTATGACAGATAGAGATAAGCTTGAAATGAGTCATTATGTGTGGCATGCAGTTGTTTCTGGCTGTTTGGTGTGAGCTGTTATCTATTGCGGTGCTGTGTTGCACGATGTTTATAAATCAAGAAAAGTACCACCATCTTCTTGTTGTGCATCAGATGCATATTGAGTTGTGCGTGTGTGTTCGTGTACGTTCAGACGTGTGTGCCTGTGTGTGTGAAAATGGCGTCACGATTTATTGAAAGTGGTATTTGGTGGTACGAGTGTTCAAAACAATTTGAACTTCATGCTGTTGATCTCCTTTTTGACATGCTCTCTTTCCATCGTGGGGATGTAGCGGATTGTGAGCGCCGGATACAGCTTGCCTCGACAGTATTTGGTAGAATATACTCACTGTCGACCAGATGGAAGAAAATCAGCGAGAATCGGAGAATCAAATTATACCGTCCATTTGTGAAGCCATGCCTAACCTATAACTGTGCCACCTGGTGCATGACGAAGGCTCTGGCGAGTGAGATAGACAGATGCCACAGACGCCAGCTCAGGAGCCTCATTGGCATAAGGTTCCTGAACAGGATAATTATCGAACACCGACCTGTACCAGCGCGGTCGGGAAGAGCCGCTGTCAGCCACCATCGAGAAGGCACGTATGCGGATGCTGAGACATGCACTGCAACTGTCGCCGGACACCCCAGCGCAGCAAGCCATGAGTGGGTACTTCACTCCACAGCAACGTGGGTACAAGAGCCGGCCCAGATCGTCGCTGGTCGGCACCCTGAACCAAGACGACTCAGTTTGCATTCCGCGCAGGCCACTCAACGGAGGATGCCCTGGTACTTATGCTAAATCGTATTCTTATTGCACGGGACAAGCGTTTGTGTACTGGCATATGCCTTCTAGATATGTCAAAGGCATTCGACAAGGTTCGTCATGAACGGCTACTCCAGGACCTATTCGATATCGGCATAACAGGGACAGCCCTAAAGTGGTTTTCCGCCTATCTGTCGGGCCGTACTCAGCGTATTTAGAAAAGCGATCCTGTCAGCTTTTCTATTATTGTGTTCACATGGCAGAAAAAACGACACCGCTATGCTACGTAAGTTTCTACGTAAGGTGCTCGGTACTTCACTTAGGCTACGTAAGTTTCTACGTAAGGTGCTCGGTATTAGATCTACCAACGGGTGGTAGCCGCGTGCTGTGCACGTGCACGGCAGACATTGTGTTGCATGCAATGCAGTCCGTTTTCGGATGTGCATGCGCGAGGAACTTCCTTCTTTGGAACTGCTTCTTGCATGAGCTGTTTCGGATATTTCGTGTCCTGGCTTATTTCGCTTCGGCTCTGCTGAGACCTCTTTTCACGGAATATTACTCAATGACAGGTGAGTTGACCAGTTCCCTTTGATTCATTTGCTTGTGTTGACTCTTTCATTTACGAAAAGTGTGCTGATTTTAGGTGGAATACAATAAATAATGGAAAAGCTGACAGGATCTAGGATCTCTTTTCTAAATTTAGCTTTTCTGCTGTCGAGGCCTCCTTTTACGGAATACTCAATGACAAGTGATCTCTGAGTTGACCAGTTTCCTTCGATTCATTTGCTTATGCTCACCCTTTCATTTACGGAAACGTGTGCTGATTTTATTCGGATTTAGATCCATTCGTATCTCTTTGCCCTTGCCAACAGTGTGCGAAGAACGCGAGTTCACCTTCTTGACGGTAAGGCTTACATTGTATGTTGCTGCTGAGGCTTAGATGTGTTGTCGAAATACTCATGTTCATTGTACATTGGTACGTTACAAGTAAGGCACTGGTCATGATTGCTTCCGGCATTCCGTGCCCCGATCATAGGGTAGAATCTGAATTTTGCAGTGGCATAGCATCGTTGGCAGTTCCCAATCTGTAGGGGAAGGTTCAAGGACGCATTGGCCCAGGACTAGTATGCAAGATAAATTCGCATATCAGGGAAAATCTCCATTATGGAGAGGTTCATGCATTCAGTGACTTGTTTGCTTCATACGAAACAAGCCAATAGGGAGGTTCTGCTATACGTGAAACGTAGAGAAATCACGTAGAGAGCAGGTGTCTGGGTTAGAGTCTACGGCTTCGCGTGTTTTGGCTCCAGATTTCTACGCGGAGATGGGGTTCTCTACGTTGTGGCACACGCAGAGAAAATTTGCTGGGTATCGATCAACTGCATGCAGAAAACTGCCAAATATGGAAGGGAAAATTCCCAGTACACATTCCACGTGACTTCTCTAGGTGAAACGTAGAGCAGAACAGCATTTCTTTAGGGGTCGTCGCAAAAGTTTTCTGTCGTCCCTGAAACGAACATCGTTCATTTCGTACTTGGACCCCCTCCCCTCCCTCTGAAACGAACACAGCTTGCTATGCTGGACGACGAAAATCGCATGCATGTACATGTCATATGCACAGTGTCGGTCGACTTGCGATTTTGGCTCGCACCCCCTCCCCCCCCCCAAACGAATCATGTTCGTTTCAGGGACGACAAAAAACTTTTGCGACGACCCCTTACGTAACGGGAACGCGAAGAAAGTTCGCGTGATTCTTTGCGTCGCGTTCCCAAAACGTAGAGCAGAACCTCCCTACTGGGTGCAGTCTCGTCTCGTGAAAATCTCGTACGATTGGATTTGTTTACTCGAGTCTGGGCTGTTTGATTTGTGAGTAGCGCTGAGATTGCACTGCCCCAAATAAAGTTGCGTGCCGGTAGAGCAAGAATTACGATCTGCAATCTGTTTGTTGTACCTGCAAGAATGTGCTGTACATGTATCGTATTTTCTCTGTTGTTGTTTCAGTTGCCGTCATGTTCCTAAAGAAAGGTTCAGTGACTCATTTGTTTCATAAAAGACGAGTCAATGGTTTGGTCTGGCTTAGAATCTTTCGCTTTAGAAGAAATCTATTCGTGTCTCTATTGGAGAAATAATTGTATTCACTCGTTATAAAATAGGGTTAAGACAAACTCACAGAGCAAATGCCATCGGTCCCTTCATGTTCGTCCTAAGGGGGTTTGACTGGATATCATTCATACTCCCCCAAAGTCGTGTAACATTTTATTATTATGGAGTGCCTTGTTTATCTCTCAGTACCTCCAACCATATATCCTTGCCCCTTATATCCTCAGGATCAGTGTAGTTGTTGGAACAAGGTGTCGGACTCAGCAATGTATTTGTTTACATTTTAATACATGTTTATTGTTCCTACTTTGCTGTGTTGTTTTAGACAATCGTGGACTTGTAACACTTTGAAGTCATTGAACTGCTTCCAAAAGTTTTATCGACATCAACAGGATTACGATTTCACTACAATATGATGCCGGATGACCTTATCACGACAACCCATGACTACAATTATAAACACAGAATCAACAAAAACATCTGCGGCACGCACCTGGTTACAATTCTCATGTAAATGTGATTTAGGGTGTGGACATCTGAATTTTCTGAAAGACAAGACAATTTTATGACCGAGTCATGAAATTCTGCAACATCCACAGAATGACCTGCGTATAAAAAAGGTATCGGGTCATCCTAATAAAGATATTATTATTATTATTTAAAAATTCGACGAGGAGACAATAATTTTAATATGGCAATAAGTAGGACGAGCTGAAGCGACATGTGGACTACTTTATTAACAATGTAAGCGATGGAGACGATGCAAGAAACAACCTAAAGGGTAAGGAAAAATACATGTAAGAAGAAAAAGGGCAATGGAAAAAAAAAGATGATTCGAACAAGTTTTCGTACAACACTCTTCAGGAATCACCGTTGTACTAAAGAACAAAATGAGAACAAAGGAAATAATATAGCAATCAAGGTAGGGTGACACGATACAATGACAGCACTAGAATATCGAGGTGCGATTTCTCACAAAAGTGTGAAGAAAACAAGGGTATACAAGTAAGAACTAAGCGTGACAAGTGTGTATCAGCAACAAAAAACAAAAAAGTGAGAACGAATGATAATAATAACAATAATAAACAAGAAGGTGACAAAACACATTTAGGCACAAGTGGCAACAACGTTGCCGCACTACACAACAGAACATTATTTGAACAATTTTAGGGTAATAACACTATTGACGTGAAGGCAACGGCATTCAGGGTTGGCGTGGGTGGTGAAGGTGAGACGCAGGACGATGCAAGTGAGGAGGAGAGTCAAGCCGCGGTGGATGACGGAGCAGGTTCTGATTCGGACAGTGAGGGAGAAGGTGAGCTGAGTGAGGGTGAGAGGGAGTGTGAGGGTGTGCGCGTGAGTCGAGATTGTGTGCGTCCGTCTCGTAATAACAAGTCTTCAGTATACAATCATTTGGTTTCTAGTACTGACTGTTGTCGTACTTATTCTGATTCCTGTTTTTCTGTTTTGTGCCGTGCTCGTCATGGTTATCTTTTGCAGTTACAAGTTTTGGAAGCTGTTTGTCAGCGCATTCATAAGCCGAATTTGTGTGTCCAGAAAGATAGTGTTATTACCCTAAAATTGTTCAAATAATGTTCTGTTGTGTAGTGCGGCAACGTTGTTGCCACTTGTGCCTAAATGTGTTTTGTCACCTTCTTGTTTATTATTGTTATTATTATCATTCGTTCTCACTTTTTTGTTTTTTGTTGCTGATACACACTTGTCACGCTTAGTTCTTACTTGTATACCCTTGTTTTCTTCACACTTTTGTGAGAAATCGCACCTCGATATTCTAGTGCTGTCATTGTATCGTGTCACCCTACCTTGATTGCTATATTATTTCCTTTGTTCTCATTTTGTTCTTTAGTACAACGGTGATTCCTGAAGAGTGTTGTACGAAAACTTGTTCGAATCATCTTTTTTTTTCCATTGCCCTTTTTCTTCTTACATGTATTTTTCCTTACCCTTTAGGTTGTTTCTTGCATCGTCTCCATCGCTTACATTGTTAATAAAGTAGTCCACATGTCGCTTCAGCTCGTCCTACTTATTGCCATATTAAAATTATTATTATTATTATTATTATTATTATTATCACCGCCACTGCACTACCCATATGATTCCCCGGCAGAAGAACCTGAATACAGTGTACATCTGTCATCATACGCAAGACTAGTTCCATTTTCCGCAAGAAAAGGCTTGCACATCAATGCGTATAATACGGTATTGAATTTGATATGATACACGTAC